AACGGTTACCATGGAGAAAGTCAGCGTGATTACCGTGGAAACAGAGTCAACGGTTACCATGGAGACAGTCAGCGTGATTACCGTGGAGACAGAGTCAACGGTTACCTTGGAGACAGTCAGCGTGATTACCGTGGAAACAGAGTCAACAGTTACCATGGAGACAGTCAGCGTGATTACCGTGGAAACAGAGTCAACGGTTACCATGGAGACAGTCAGCGTGATTACTGTGGAAACAGAGTCAACGGTTGCCATGGAGACAGTCAGCGTAATTACTGTGGAGACAGAGTCAACAGTTACCATGGAGACAGTCGGCGTGATTACCGTGGAAACAAAGTCCCCGGTTACCATGGAGACAGAGAAATCGGTAACTAATAGAGCTTGGGTTCATAAAATGAATGCTGTTAATTCTGATCGGGTCTGATCCGCTCCGGTCCAGTTTGCGGTCTGATACAATAGAGGAAGGAATCGTTGTTGAGCCTCCAGTGGATCGGAGGGATCTGCAGTCCTGGAGTGTCCAGCTCGGCTGCGCTTCGACTCAGCTGGGGGAGTTTCCTCTCAGGCCCAGTGGAACTAGCCTCGGCATCGGCCTCCAGGCCACGCCCCCTCCGACCGAAGAGCCGTCATTTGTGCTGAGTCCTTCTGCCTTGGCCGCTCCCACCTTCATGTGCAACAGAGGGGGCGGGGTCAGGACACCTTCGCAGGGAGCCTCTGGCCGAGGGGCAGCCCGTCTCCGTTCCTCGGAACCACCGGGGTTAACCTGTGGGCTGCCCTGGTCTGCTGGCGTTACCGTGGTAACAGTCTGCTGGTTGAGAAAAACAATTTCGCTGAGAAGGGACGACAGGCTCTGGTTGTCCGAATCGGATCTGGGTTTTGGCCCAGCAGATGGTCCATGCGTGGTCGGAGCAGAGCTCTGAGAGGTGTTGGGACCGAGGGGCCCAGCTGCACCCGGGTTCTGGACGGTGGCCCGGCTGCATTCCTTGGGGAGCTGCAGAACCGTGGCTGCAGCTGCAGAAAGTGGCGGCTGCTGCTCCGGGCGGCGATGCTGTGTACTTTCTGGATGAACGGCAACGGGCACAGGGTCTGACTTCAGTTCTGAGGACAGAAACACGGATGAGAAAAGCCACCAGAACCCCAGATAAAGCACTGAGTGCCGCCTCTTACCTTCTGCCTTCAGGGACGCAGATTGACGGCGGCTCCGGGACAGAATGTTGGGAATGGTTCTGGTCCGCTTCCTCACTTCAGAGAATCCATGCAGAGGAGGCTCAGAGTCGGACAGGGGGACGGTAGGCTGCAGACGGACAAAGGCAGGCTGACCTGAACCCTGACAGGGAGGCGTCCATCGGGTTTCTGACGGGGCGACACGACAGGCTGCCTCAGCTGGAACCTGACTGGCCGTTTGCTGCTTCTCCTCCGTCTCTGCAAACAAAGACAAAAAAAGTTCCCAGATTTGAAACCAGACTTTAACTGGACCCGTTTCCATCATTGAGAACAGAACATAGTCCAAGCCTACGGAGGTTCGACCCGCTGCGCTGATCAGGTTCTGTTTCCTAACCATCACTGTCAACGGAACCGGTTTAAAAACAAAAGTTACGACTGTAACTAAGGTTCCATGAATCCCTGATGACCACCAGAGGCGGTGCTTAAAGCATGAATGATCCCTCTTGCGCTTGCACAGCTCGAGAATCTTATACCAACATAGTCACGTATGACCCCCGGTGACACCAGTGAGCCAATATAATCACGTAACGACAGCTCAGTCCCTTATTCTCCTCACAAAAACACGATGATTCTGAGGGACCGAACGCTCTGGCGGTCATCTGGGGAACCGTAGTTAAAAGTCGTAACTTTCATTCTATTTCATCCCTACTGACCGCCAGAGGCGGTGCTTAAAGCACGGATGACGATTACCAACAGAGTCCTGAAGAATCACATGCAGAAAATAAACAACCCGAAAACATGCCCACCTCACTGGGAAGATGGATGAAGCCACCTTAGGAAGAAACGCCACATTAGGCCAGAGAGTAACACCAGAACCAGCCGGGTTCCAACGGCAGCTGGACTAGTGAACAGACAAAGCATGTAGCTCACCCCCCCCCGCTTCGCCGAGGCCATGGCGAGGAGAAAAGCTGTCTTCTTTGACACACACTCAAGGCTTGGCTCTGCCAATGGTTCAAAAGGAGGAGAGCGCAGAGCAGTGAGGACAAGAGAGAGGTCCAACGCAGGCACAACAGGGCATGTTGGAGGGTGCAAACATCAGGCACCTCTCAGAAACAAGGAAACATCCTTGTTACGACCCACCGTTTCACCACCGAATGCCAGCAAGAGATGGCAGCAGCATAAACTTTCAGAGTGGATGGAAAGCGACCTTTAGAAAGTAGTGCTTGAAGGAGGGTTAAAATAACAGAAACAGGACAGTGTACAGGGTCCTCATGTCTTTCCTGACACCAGCGGCTAAAAGCCTTTCCCTTATGGGTGTACACCAATGGCAGCTGGTGCCCCTCCTGAAAGACCCTCAGGAGGTTGGGCCTATCAGGCGAAGTGGTGGAAATGCATAGAGCAGCGCCCTCGGCAAGTCGTGCGACAGCGCATCCTGACCTAGAGGACTGGCACTGTCTGCCAGGGAGAACCAAAGCGGGCAATGGGTCGTCTCTTGGGATGCAAATAGATCTACGGCTGCTCTTCCGAACTTCTCCAAAATAGCTCCCACTACCTCTGGCTGGAGCCTCCACTCCCCCCGGTGGTGGACGCCCCCGAGATAGGATGTCGGCCGGGACATTCTGCACACACTGGAATGTTGGCAACTCACAGAATGGCGGGAGGGACAGGAGGGATGTGTTTGGAGACGAGCAGCAGGATTCTGAAGGCAAAGGACGAGTGAGTTCAGAACAAAGCTTGGATGATCGTCTCCAGGTCACCTGCTTCGCTTTGAGAAAGCAGCTGTGAGGAGACCTAGCTGACTGGACCTGGAACCAGAACCTGGATGGATCCAGATCATTCAGGTTTGGAGGAACATCCGTTTGCTCCATCAAAGCCGCCTACAGCGCTGACATCACCGTCACATGACCCAACAATCAGCACATGACCAACCTCAACAGCAATAAATAGTGGCTGTTAACCTGGAGAAGAACCAGAACCAGAACTAAAAGGTCCAAACAGGTTCTGTAATCTGAGATGCAGTCAGTCAGTCTACAGAACAGGCAGTCTGGACGCCTAGAACCCGACCCTGATCAGGTAAAGTCATAAAATGCTGTCTGACCCGATGTGCTGCAGACGTCCTGGATGCCTCCATCCTCTTGTTTGGAGACGCTCTGGGAGAACCGCAGACTCTCCGCCTCTGATGGAAGCTTCTGGACCTCCTGAGGAACCTGGAACCACAAACAGTCTGATCAGGGGAAGATCTAGAGACGCAGCTCTGACTCTGTGAACTCTAACCAGGCTGTTAAACGGCCTGCTATAGCAGCAGGAAGCAGAACTGTTCCCAGCTTCTGGTTCCTTCATGAAGGAAAGGCTTCACTGTAGATATTTCTCTGCTAGACAGAGCTATGGGCTCAGCTTCTACTGCAACTAAATGGATGTTCTCTCCTTCATCCTCGGACATGAAACCTGGCTTAGAGTTCGTCTGATTAACCGTTTCCTTCCCAGACAGAGCCGCCTGTGGAGCTAGCTTACCGTTAGCTTTTCTAACATAGAAAGTCCTAATAGATCATTGCTTCTATGTCTGCTTCTGTCTCCTTGAACCCCAGTCGGCCTCAGCAGATGGCTGCTCACACTGAGCCTGGTTCTGCTGGAGGTCTTCCTGCTAAAGGGGAGTTTTTTTACTCTCCACTGTCGCTACCAGCATGCTTAGTGTGATGGATTGCTGAAGAGTCAACATCTCCTGCCTCTATCTGCTCATCCAGGAGAGAATCCTGCAGAGTTAGTGACTGAACTAAATCAGCTGGTTCTACTTAGACAGAAATGTGGAACCTTTAATCCACAGCAGAACTTGGCCTTTGGGTTCATATCATGAACCTGGACTTTAAAGAGCTCTAGGTTCCTCTGTGACAGTTCTGGCTGCGATGGTCCAGACCAAGCAGTAGAACTAGGGGTGTAAATCACATCCATCATGGCGATTCGATTCAGTTTCGATTTCCCGACCCAACGAT